AAACTTACACAAATATTTCAAATAAGTCTCAACTTATCAACCTCTAGCCATTAGTCATAAACTTACCAAAACATGCCAAGCACATATAAAAATTGAAAACCAAATAAATAAGATTCTTTCTCTCAAAGAATCACATGCAAAAAATCACCTTCCATATTTTTAAGCGTGATTAGAAACATTAGATGCAAGACGGAAAGGAAATTTCATGGATGAGATAGCAAATAAAGTGGTGAAATAAACAAAAATACAATATTCCAAAAATCTAAGCAAAAAAGAAACTTTTTCAATGGGTATAGTTGAAATTCATTGAAAACATATAATCCAATATACAAAATTTGAGGAAGATTGGAGGTGATTTGAATTGGTTTTGTATCAAAATTCGTAATTAAATTGAATTCAAAAATTCTTCTGTGACACAAGTATCAAACATGTATCACGCATGTATCTCATACACAGGTATACATGGATATACATGTGATATACAGTGATACAAATATGATACATATGTGATACATAAATGATACATGTACAGTGTGATACACATATCATTTTTTTTCATGTTAAGTTTTTAGTTCGAATTTTCAATTCAAACCAGCTCAAAACTTCACCAAATTATCCCAAAACTAAGATTCAAGCTCCTTAAGATATACCCAATATATTCTAATAACACACACTCAAAAGAAAGCAAAAATTTGATTTTTTTTTTTTTGCTACAAATAGCTAATTGGCTAATATTAGTAATATTTTATAAATTGGTCAATTTTTGTAATGAGCTACTTATAAATGGGCATAGCTAGTAGTTTCCCACAACTATTTAAGGCCATGTCAAGGAGTACACGACAGTCTAGAAGAAGTGCTAAACTAGAATGGATATTTATGTCAAAATAGCATGGGCTAGTCAGTTTTAAGGATTGGTAATTGAAAAATAGTCAGCGTTTGCAAAGTCTTTGAAAAATAGCCACTATTTTGCGGTAACACGGAAAGTTCCAGCATAATATACTGGAGATTGGAGCACTTGTGTATAAACTTCCAGCATATTATGTTGGAATTCCAGCACATTATGAAATTCCAGCATGTTATGATGGAAGCTCTGATATACAAAATTCGAACTCCGACATATTATGCTGGAATATTTTTCAGATTTTGAATAGTATTTTTGTTCTGATATTTATGGCTCTAGATGAAGTGGGTTGAACTGTGTGTGATTCGGCTCCGCTGTCACGTGTTGTAGGCTTGAGGCCCTTGCCTCAATACTTACATCGACAACGCTTCAAAACTCTAATCCCACTACAAAAGCAAGTGAAGCAGACTAAAAACAAGAATATTAGTAATCCTAAATTACTATGGATTTGTATTTGTTCATCTCTTTAACTATATTCGTGTCAAACATTTTTGTTGGAATTAAACCACTATTAGTAATCCTAAATTACTTAGGATTTGGTATTTTCTACTCTATTTTAACTCTTATCTAAATAGGTTTTGTAGTAAACATAATATGGGATTAGGTTTCCTAGTTTGTTATCAAAACTGGTTTTTCACTATTATATAAATACTGTAGGTGTAACACTAGCTACCTGATTTTCATATTGAGAGGTAAGTGAGATAAGTTATTTTCTCGCCGGAAAACTAACATGGCCTCCGCCTGCATATCAACTAATTGTGTTAACGAAATTGCCAGAGCACCAGTAAGACCAACATACGTGAACCTGTATAAATGGCCAGAATCTGACGCTGAGTTCATAAAATCAGTTGTCAGCTCAAGGATAAACAACCAATACAATGGCAACATCGAGTGCAGTCATCCCAATAATCCGACGACGGTGTTGGATAGCATTTCATACAGACAATTATACTTAAGAAGCTACCCGTTTTCAAAAGAAGAGAACGTACGCGTTGATGATGAGAAAAGTAAGATGGCTAGAGCACCTGTAAGAGCAACATACGTTAACCAGTATAAATGGCCAGAATCCGACATTGAGTTCATAAAGTCAATCAGCTCAAAAATAAACCAGAATAGCAATATTGGGTGCAATCATCCTGAGCCTAACGAGCCGGACAGCATTTCATACAGGCAATTATACTTAAGAAGCTATCCGTTTTCAAAAGAAGAGAGCGTTTGTGAAAAAATAGTACTGAAATACTATAGAATAAAACGAAAAGTTCGTAATACTGGTGATAATTCAAGTGGTGCCCCGAGTCGAAATACTAGAGAAAATATGAATGGAATTAGAAAGGCTAAGGAGATATCATGCGCTGCTTTGTTTTCCATTTTTCGAAGGCTATTATCTTGCACAGTCAAGGTTGATGTGGTTGATTAAGACACTAAATTAGTAATTTAAAGAGTTTTCCTTCATTTTCTTATTTCATTTCGCCGATATTCTCTTTTTCTACTTTGGTTTTTGAGTTCTTTTCTTAAAGTGAAACTTTCAAAAACAACTATGTTTTAGTGGTTATTAGCTATTTGTAGCTACTATTTACTATTTTACTTCCTATAGCTATTTTTTCAGGGTTTTTTGAGTGTATTCGATGTATTTAAGCTACTGTATTCATGAATATTGTAGCATTTCTAGGCGTGAAACAGGGGATTACAGGTAGACAGATTTTTGTATTCGACTATATTCACGGTGTGAAACAGGGGATTACAGCTAAACAGATTATTGTATTCGACTGTATACACGATATGTATTTATGAATACAGTAACGTAAATAGCGCAATTCATGGTCTATTCAGCTGTTTTTTAAACGGAAAGTGAATCAATTAACATAATAGACTACTAATATAACTCAGCAAACTCAATTATAACACAAAAAATTTGCATTTCCAGTTATAAAAAAAATCTCAACCGAAAAACACCCCAAAAACATAGCAATCTTCAGAGAAAATATGCTGAATATTTTTCCCAGCCGATAAATACAACAAAAACAGAGCAATTTGAATACATATATACGTCTGGATACATAAATTATATTAACTAAAAAATATATGAATACATTCATGGAATACAACGAGACAGTGAATACAATGAAATACATGGAATACATCGAGATACATTGAAATACAATGAAAAAAAAAGACAATGAATACATGAAAATACAGCGAGATACATTGAAATATATTAACAGAAAATTCAAGTTGCTCGCCCCAAGCTCCGTCGTCTTTGTTCAAGAAAAACCCTAATGTCGTCTCAGCGGATGAAAATAACAATTCCCTCGGAATAGGAACCTCAATTTTCACTTTCTTCTTATCTACCACATCGTCCTCGCCGCCAACGATTTTCCTAAGCAACACATCCCTTTTCTCTCCCCTTTTTCCTTTCTTTCTTAGTACCAATACAATAATGGCAGAGCTAGAAATCACTCAAAATCAAAGCCCGATGCCAAAACTCATAGATTACTTATTTTCTCTACTCCAAAGGGTGGCTGAAGCTAAAGATATTAATGGCAGATTTCAACCCCAAAAGATCTCAGTTTTTCATGGCCTCACAAGGCCAAATATCTCAATTCAGAATTATTTAGAGAGGATTTTCAAGTATGCAAATTGTAGCCCTTCTTGTTTTGTCGAAACTGTACAAACAAAAATATCTTTGAGAAGCTCTGTAAAAGTAAGATGAAGGTGGAAGATGAGGAGAGAGAGGGAGAATAGATATGGGGTAGGTGGGATACGAGAAATTTGAGGGGATAGGAGAAATTTGAGTGGAGAGAGAAAAATAATACAAAGCTTATTTTATGGCTTAAGGGTAGGAGGTGACCATAAATAAATATTTGGCTATAAAAAATTAAAATGTAGCTATGGAATATAATTTTTTAAAAGGGTATTTATTTAAAATAAATAAGGTATTAACCTTTGCTATAGGAGGTAACTAATCCTTTCGACTAGCTTGTTGTTTGCATTTATGGAACCTATTATGGTAATGTATGTATTGATCAGAGTTAATAGAAGAATATTGTCATTTTTGTGGTAGGAATATTTTAAGTTGATAAAGAAAATTTAAACTTCTCTTGCGTAAGTAGTTTGAGCTTAAGACTTTGGTGATTTTAAAGCCTTGTTTGTCCCAAATTAATATTTATTTTCTATCACTATTAAGTGTCGTCATATGTAGTGTATGTACGCAAATTTTGCATAAAAATATTATATAAAATACTAGAACTTTTTGCGAAGGATTGTCGGGTATCTGCCATATGCTGGTCACTTGCTCTTGTAGTTTTATTTTTCCTAATTGCTTGTAAGTTTGAATTACAAATAACAATAATGATTTGACGATTGTTGAATCATAAAAGTTTCCTAACAATTGTGATTTAGGTTAGTACTTGGGTAAATCACTAAAGTTTATTGAATCGATTTAGTCAAACACAGTATCAGTTTATTCAAGCTATTACTTAGCGAAAATAAGCATTATTGTAGAAATAGGTGCAGTCACATAACAAGGAGGAGAATGTTAGTTAGGAAGTTAGTGTACAGCTGTCATAGTGTTAGAAGTAGAGTGGGGCCCACTATCTTATGAGTGGAGGCTAATTATATACGTGTATATATACAAACAATGTACTGTTACATTGAGATATAGTAAACATTTTTCTCTGTTTCTCTTCTTCTTCTTCTTCAGCTCATGTAACCGCCATTGCTGCACTTCCTCATCTCTTGCATGCACTGAGTTCTAACATGGTATCAGAGCCAGGCCCATCCCAATTATTGTTACCTATGTTGGGCCCCATTTATGTTGTCCACGCACCAGAGGCCTGGGCGTGAGGGGGGGTGTTGAGTTGTCCCACATCGGTGGGAGTTGAGGTCCTTGGTCTCCTTATATGGCTTGGGCAATCCTCACCTCACAAGCTAGCTTTTGGGGTTGAGTTAGGCCCAATGTCCATTCTTATCATGGTATCAGAGCTCGAGCTCTGAAGTACAGCTCACAAATCGATCCAATTCTGGAACCTTGCTCTCTCGAGTAACTTCTTCTTCTTTCTTTCTTCTCTCAAAATCCTGAAGCTCTAAATCGTGGTCAACAATGGCAAATGACAATTCTGAGCAGGAAACACCTGCAACAGTAACTGAAACATCACAAATCTCGTCGGAGGATGAATTTGAAGAAGGAATCTCAGTTCCAATCACTCATCCTCTGTATTTGGCATCTACTGATACAAGTGGAATTTCTCTGATCTCTTTTCAATTAACAGGAACAAACACTTTCTCGCGGTGGTATAGATCTATGAAAATTGCTCTTCTAGGTCGAAACAAGCTTGGAATGGTAGACGGAAGATGGAAAAGAGAAAAATTCAGAGAGAAATACTGGTATCAATGGGAGAGATGCAATGCAATTGTATTATCGTGGTTGATGAATGCTGTAGCACCAACATTAATTAGCGGAATTGCTTATGCAACAAATGCACACTCCGTATGGATGGATCTACAAGAGAGATTCGACAAAGTGAATGACACTAGATGCTACAATCTACACAAGGAGATTGCAACCCTAACTCAAGGTACTTCCTCTATATCTGTGTATTATTCTGAACTCAAAGATCTATGGGATGAAACTGAAGATCTGGTCCCTCATCCTGGTTGGGACTGCCCTAGGACTAAGAAATTCATTGAACACCTGCACAAACAAAAGTTGTATCAATTCCTTATGGGATTAAATGACTCATACTCACAAGCACGTAATCAAATTCTTATGATGAAACATGTTCCCTCTGTGAACCAAGCCTATGCTATGTTAATAAGTGAGGAAAGTCAAAGGAGTGTAGCAGGATCAGCAGGGATTTTAGGTGCTGGACCTAATGTCACAGTGGTCACTATGAATCTACAGCACTCTATAGCTCTAAGGCTGATAATAGACCAAAATACAAGAAGAACTATAATCTATATTGTGACTTCTGTAAACTAAAAGGACATAGCAAGGAGAATTGCTACAAAATAGTTGGGTATCCAGCTGACTACAGGTATAAGAAGAAAGGGGGAGCTGGTGCTTACAATGCAGTAGCTGAATGTGGCTCAGCTTCAAATAATTACAGTGTTGTACCACCTGAGCTAAGTCTCTACACACATACTAGTGGCCAACAAAGCCCTGGCACTCAGATGACTAATATGCAGCCAAGGTCCAGTCAAATCTTGCAACAAAACAATCACACTGCCAATATGGATATACAGTCACAGCATGGAGGAGGTGGTTCCTTTCCTTTTACCAAGGAACAATATGACCAGATTATGCAGATTTTGAACAGCAACACAGTCAGCTCTACCTCAACAAACAACAGCAGTTCTACATCTACACCTCAGGCCCATGCAGCAGGTACTAGTGTTGCATTACTAGCTTCCAATAGTCCACAAGAATGGATTATTGATACAGGGGCTACAAACCATATGGTGTCTGACCTCAATTTATTATATAAGACAACTGTAGTTCCTCCTCTTAGCTCTAGAAAGGTTCTCTTGCCAAATGGAGATGTCACACAAGTAATTCATGTTGGAGATAGTCAGATATCACACAAACATACTAAAAGAAGTACTTTATGTTCCACAGTTCAAGTATAACCTACTGTCAGTATCAAAAATGACAAGGGATCTAAGGTGTTTTGCTTCTTTCTACCCTGATTTTTGTATGTTTCAGGAGCTCTTCAATGGCAAGGTGAAGGGGATTGGTAGAGAAAGAGATGGCCTATACTTCCTTCAACAACATGGCAATAAGAGATTGACTACTGTGTCTTTAGCAGCTATTAACACAAAGGATGATTTCTCAGTTGATTCCAGTGATATAGCTTTATAGCACAGGAGACTTGGCCATGTGTCTATTCTTACTTTGAAAAACCTATTTCCTGTTAAGCTAGCCAGTATTACCAATGCAATTAATAACTGTTGTGTGTGTCCTTCTGCTAAGCTAACCAGGACACCATTTCCTCACAGTAGTATTAAGAGTGCTGGTGCATTTGACTTGATTCATGTAGATGTTTGGGGACCATATAAAACTGCAACCTTTGATGGTAATAAATACTTTCTCACAGTAGTTGATGACTTCACTAGAGTGACTTGGATTTTCTTATTGAAACTGAAATCTGATGTGTGTGTTGCATTACCACAGTTTCTAGCCTTTGTTTACACTCAGTTCAATAAAACAGTCAAAATGGTGAGGTCTGACAATGGTACCGAGTTTCTGAATTCAGTATGTAAGACAGTCTTCAACAAACTTGGTATTGTTCATCAAACCACTTGTGCATACACTCCACAGCAGAATAGAGTAGCTGAGAGGAAGCACAGGCATCTTCTAGAAGTCACCAGAGCTATGAGGTTTCAAGATCACATTCCTATCAAGTTTTGGGGTCATTGTGTCATCACTGCTGCCTATCTGATCAATAGACTACCCTCTTCTGTGTTAAAAGGGTACTCACCTTATGAATTGCTGTACAAGAGGAGTCCTCAACTGGGCCACATTAGAACTCTAGGTTGTTTGTGTTTTGCTAAACAAGTGCAGGAGACAGACAAACTTATGCCTAGAGCCAAACCTGCAGTCCTCATGGGGTTTTCAGATACTCAAAAGGGGTATATTCTCTTAGATATCTCTACTCAGCAATTCTTTGTCAATAGGGATGTTGTATTTCAGGAGAATGTTTTTCCTTTCAAAGACTCCTCCAGTAACTCTTCTCCTGTTTTTCCTGTTATTCCCTCACCTCCTAGCTGTGAAGAGGTGCCTAGATATATCCACTCATATCCTTCTACTTCTTCTCCTCACAACCAATCTTCTACTTCTTCTCCTCACATACATCCTTCTATTACGTCTCCTTCTGTTGGTTCTGATCCTCTGCCACTTACTTCTGAGCCTTATCCCACACTGAGGAGGTCTTTTAGACCTAAGCATCCCCCATTGTGGCTTAGGGACTATGTCACTCAGCCCTTTGCCACCACCACACCTTATTCCACAGCTAACTATGTGTCCTATGACTCCTTATCTCCCTCTTATCAGTCCTTCATTGCAGCCTTCTCTTCCATTGTGGAACCCTCTACCTATACTGAGTCTGTTCAAGATCCTAGGTGGGTGGAGGCTATGAAGTCTGAGATTGCTGCTCTGGAAGCCAATCACACCTGGGAGGTTGTGTCACTTCCCCCAGACAAGGTACCTATTGGTTACAAATGGATCTTCAAGGTGAAGTATAAAGCTACAGGGGAGGTTGAGAGGTTTAAAGCCAGACTGGTGGCAAAGAGGTTCAGCCAGCAGGAAGGTATTGATTATCAGGAAACCTTCAGTCTAGTTGTTAAGATGGTCACAGTTAGAACCATTCTATCTGTTGCAGCTTCTGAGCATTGGCATATCCACCAGATGGATGTATACAATGCTTTCTTACAAGGGGACTTGCCTGATGAGATCTATATGACTCTTCCTCAGGGATTTTAGAGTCAGGGGGAGTGTAGGCCAGTTTGCAGACTCTTGAAATCTCTATATGGCCTCAAACAAGCACCCAGTGGAATGCAAAGTAATCAAAGGCATTGATCAGTTTTGGGTTTCTACAGAGTCAACATGATCACTCATTGTTTGTGCAAGGTACTGGCAGCTGCATTGTAGTTATATTAGTCTATGTGGATGATATGCTCATCACAGGACCTGATTTGAGACTAGTAGAGGAAACCAAAGCTACACTTCAGAAGACTTTTAAGATGAAGGACCTAGGGGAGCTGAAATATTTTCTTGGGATAGAGTTTGCAAGGTCTTCACAAGGTATTCTAATGCATCAAAGAAAATATGCATTAGAACTTATATCTGAACTTGGACTAGGAGTTGCAAAGCCTGCTGCTACACCTCTTGAAGCAAATGTGAAACTCACTACTTCACAGTATGATGAACACACAGGTACAGTCAACAGCCTGGATGATGCACTTCTACCAGATGCAACTTGTTATCAAAGGCTATTGGGGAAACTCCTATATTTGACAGTTACAAGACCAAATATTGCATTTAGTGTTCAAACTCTTAGTCAATTTATGCAGAAGCCTAAGAAATCTCATATGGAGGCAGCACTCAGGGTGGTCAAATATGTCAAGAATCACCCTGGGGAAGGAGTTCTTCTCTCCAGTCAGAAGAAAGGTGTGATCTCAGCCTTCTGTGATGCTGATTGGGCAGCATGTCCACTGACTAGAAAGTCTGTGTCTGGATTCTTTATAAAGTATGGGGATTCACTAATATCTTGGAAGTCAAAGAAACAAAGCACTATTTCTAGAAGCTCAGCAGAATCAGAGTATAGAAGCATTGCAACAACAGTTGCTGAATTAGTATGGATTTTTGGGCTACTCAAGGACATTGGAGTGGTATTTGAATTACCAGCCACTATCTTCACAGACAGCAAAGCAGCCATACAAATAGCTGCTAATCCTGTTTTCCATGAACGAACCAAACACATAGAGATTGATTGCCATTTCATAAGACAGAAGAATCAGCAGGGATTAATCAAGACAGAATATGTGGGAACTAAAGAGCAATTAGCAGATGTGCTGACTAAAGGACTGCCTAGAGCTCAACATGAATACTTAGTATCCAAGCTAGGTTTGCTGAATATCTTTACTCCACCTAGCTTGAGGGGGAGTGTAGAAATAGGTGCAGTCACATAACAAGAAGGAGGAGAATGTTAGTTAGGAAGTTAGTGTACAGCTGTCATAGTGTTAGAAGTAGAGTGGGGCCCACTATCTTGTGAGTGGAGGCTAATTATATACGTGTATATATACAAACAATGTACTGTTACATTGAGATATAGAAAACATTTTTCTCTGTTTCTCTTCTTCTTCTTCTTCAGCTCATGTAACCGCCATTGCTGCACTTCCTCATCTCTTGCATGCACTGAGTTCTAACAATTATTATCTCTCAGAAATCAAAACAGAAGTTTTCCTACAACTAAAGGAGAAAATGTCGTACATTTGACTTTATAATACTTTTCCATCTTACAAATTGAATGGTTCCGATAATTAGAAAAAAATTAAATTGATGAAAGTCGAGAAAACAACTGAAATATACCAAAAAAAAAACACTACTTACCAACATTTAACCGTTAAAGCATGCTATCAAAAATAGCCAAACTATAAATCGATATGATAATAGTTCGTTTTAAACACATAGGTAATACAATATACAAAATTTGAGAAAGATTGGGGTGATTTAGACTAATTCGGAATCAAAATTCATTACCAGTGATATACAACATTTGATAAACCTAGGCAAAAAAATAATTTCCAATGAATACGTGTAACGACCAGGCCAGTCGTTTCGAGAGTTATAGCCCCGTTTTACCATTTCTGCTTCTTTTTCTGTTCTTCAGCTATACTATGATATGTTGGATCAGTTGGTTTAGGTCTGGAGTGGATTCATAGAGGATTTGAGACACTTAGTCTCTTTTGGGAAGGCTTAAGTTTGGAAAGTTGACCGGATGTTGACTTATGTGTAAACGATCTCAGATGTGAATTCAGATGGTTTTGTTAGCTCAATTAGGTGATTTTGGACTTATGAGCGCGTCCGAAATGTGATTTGGAGGTCTGTGGTAGAATTAGGCTTGAATTGGCGAAAGTTGGAAATTTGGTGATTTTGGTCTGCAGTGGAAAATTCGACATTGGGGTCGGAATGGAATTCCGGAAGTTAGAGTAGGTTCGTGGTGTCATTTGTGACGTGTGTGCAAAATTTTAGGTCATTGGAGGTGATTTGATGGGTTTCGGCGTCATTTGCGAAAATTGAAAGTTTAGAAGTTCTTAAGCTTGAATCCGATGGTGAATTGGTGTTTTGATGTTGTTTTGAATGTTCCGAAGGTTCGACTAAGTTTGTATGTTTGATATATGAAGGGGTCACAGATGCGGCCAAGGCTGAGGTTGGCTGGGAGCCGCAGGTGCGAGTAGTAGAGCGCACATGCGAGACCGCGGGTGCGAGAATTGGACCGCAGAAGCGGGTTCTGAGGGCATAAGTGAGAACCATACCTGCGACGGATTTTCCGCAGGTACGGCATCGCAGAAGCGACTGATGGACTGCAGATGCAGAAGTTCTAGGCAGAATGTATAAAAGGTGGACTTCGCGAATTTTGGTTCATTTTCCACTATTTTTAATCAGCGTTGGAGCTTTTGAGAGCGATTTTGAGGAGGAATTCAAGGGTTTATCAGTAAGGTAAGTGGCTTGAGCCCTAATACTCGTATATGTGATGATTTCCCGTTGTTTAATCATGTAATTAGTGAAGATTATGGGTGAAAATGAGGGGTTAGGGCTAGGGATTTTGGAGAGTTTGATTTGAGGTTTTGAGGGGTCAAATGGAGTCGGATTTATATAAATCTTGTATGTATGAACTCGTGAGTGAAAGGGCTTTTTAGTTTTGTAATTTTTGTCGAATTCCGAGACGTGGGCCCCGGGGATGGGTTTGGGTGAATTTTGGGATTTTGGTCTAAATTGATAGTTTTTCATGTGGAATTGGTTCCTTGGCCTATATTGATTAAATTGTATTGCTTTTGGTTAGATTCGGGAATTTTGGAGGCCGATTCCAGAGGTAAAGGCGTCGCGGAGTCGGATTTGACTTGGTTTTAGGTAAGTAACGCTTCCAAACTTGGTTTTGAGGGTTAGAAACCCCGAACTATGTGTTATGTGATTAGTACTGAGGTGACGCAAATGCCAAGTGACGGGCGTGCACCATGAGAATTGTGGCCTAGTTAATTCCATGGCACCACTTAGTGACTCTTTCTTGATGATATACGTGTCTCTATCATGTGATTAAGTAAATGTGCTCTAAATCATGCTAGATATCCTTTTAGGGCTTCACGCTGATATTGTTGAGACCCGAGTGGTCGTTTCTTGCTATCATCTCTTTAGATTCATTGATATTTTGTACTCAGTCTTATTCATGCATATCATATCATGTCTCAGTTATTATTATTTGGCATTTCATATCATTGCTTCGGGCTAGTTTCATGATATTGTGAGCCCGTGTGTGTGAGACTGGAGAGTGATGACTGAGTGAGGCCGAGAGCCTGATTATAAGTGATAGTTATGGGATCGGACTGCACACCGCGGCGGTTATGTTGATGATTATGATAGCGCTTGGGCTGTAGGAGCCGCTCCAGAGTCTGTAACATACCATTAGTGAGCACAGATGATATTTTGAGGGATGGATTTTCCTGGACATGAATTTGTCCGAAGTATTGAGATCTGGGGATGGATTTCTCCACAGGGTTGGATTACCCTTTTCATCGGTACCTAGTGACTTATAGTCAGTGATGAGTATGTTCCGGGATGGATTTTCCTGGGTCGGATGGCCATACGCGGTACCGAGTGGTTGAGTGTATATATATACCTGGAGATGGATTTATCCTCAGGGTTGGATTACCCTTGTTCCTCGGTACTGTTTAACTTGCAGTCAGTGTTGTATATGTTCGGGATGGATTTTCCTAGCCAAATGGCCATATACAGTATCAAGTGGTTGAGCACTTGAGAGTGGGAGCACATGGTGCATTTCATACATTCTGTGCATTGACATGTAGAGTCACCGGAGCTTTATACCTCACATCGTTCAGATCTGTATTTATTTTTACTGTTTGAGCTGTATACTTGAATTGATAGCATGCCTACTTCCCTGTGCTGTATATTTCTATTACCTGTTGAGGTTACGTTCGTCACTACCTATCAGTCTATAGTTTGGACTTGTTACTTACTGAGTTGGTGTACTCATGTTACTCCCTGCACCTTGTGTGCAGATCCAGGTATCTCAGGCCACGGTAGCGGCTGTTGACTATTTCAGTCGCGGACTTTCATCAGAGATAGGGAGGTAGCTGCCTGGCGATCGCAGTCCTGCCTTTCTCTTTCTTTATCTTCCTTTTAGCGTATTTTGGCTACTCTCATACTATGTTAGTCTTGCTATATTTCAGAACAGTTATAGTATTTTCTTATGACTTAGTGACGCCCGATGTCGGGCTTTTATTTCCGCATTTTGGTTTTTGAATTAATCTCTTTTACGAAATTTCAGTATGAAAAAGGCTATTATCTAACTTTTAATGAAATATCAAATTGTTTGGGAGTGTGTCGGCTTGCCTAGTTCCATGATAGGCGCCATCACGGCCGGGTTGATTTTGGTCGTGACAACATGATTGGAATTCGTTGAAAATACATAGAAATGCAATATATAAAATTTCAGAAAAATTAAAAGTAATTTGGAGTCAAAATTCATAACTGAAATCTAGTAACATAAAAAGGAAAAGGGGCCGACAAGTATGATATAGGTTTATTTCCGGAGTTAACCCCATTGAAATTGGAAGAAGTATAATTCAAGTAGGAGGATGTTTGGATTGGCTTTTAAAAAGTAGCTTATATAAGCTAAAACCCAAAAGTCATAAGTTAGTAATACCCAACTTTTGGCTTTTGACTTATTTTATATTTTTCACGCC